AGATACTTTAAAAATTAGTATCTATTGTTCTTAAAAAAAAAAAAAAAATAAATAAAAATGCTCAATACATCAAAATAAGAAAATACCATTATACCAAAAAAATTGTTTTGTTATTTAGTTTGGTTCAAAACCTAACAAAATTGCTTTCACTATAGCTTGGAAAGGAATTAGACCTTTCATCGTTGGATCCAATGTTAGGATCAAAGAGAATGTCGTCTGCATTGCTTTCAATATCGCTTGGAAAGGAACCAGACATTTCATCATTGGATTCAATTTTGGGATCAAAGAATATCATCCTTGGTCCTATGCATGTTGCTGTTATTGTTGGAGGTACTAGAGATCATACCATGAAATCTACTGGCTACCTGTTGTTTTGGAAGAAATCATGCCACTAATGATGTTTGTAGGTAATTTTTCTCAAGTTAATTAATTTTTGAGGATCTGCCGGGTGATTGGTAAATTAAGAGTTTTACACATTTTACATGAAAATGCAATAGTTCATGGTTAAAATCATTTTACTGTATGCTGCTGTTTGAAGCAGGACACGCGGTGGAGTAATTGATTTTAGGAAATTGATTGAGTAATCTGAGAGCCAGGTTTGAATTCCAGTTGTTCATTACATTCACTTATGTGCTAATACCATTGGGAAAGTTATAAATACATCTCTTTTCTTTTCTTTCTTTTCCCCCGCAGCTATGAGTAAATAGTAGGGCAGTCTGGGCCCTGTAACCATGGTTTTCAACCAGTCTAAAAGAAGGATAACTCTAAATTCAAATCCAGAGTTCCCTAAGACAGTCCAGTGTCATGTTTCTATCTGGAAACTCCTGTGATGGCACTAGCACCAAGCTTTATTGGCCTATGCCTTTTCCTTGAACAACATTGGTGGCATGGAGAAGGGAGTTGTGTTGTTTGGGCAAATGTCGATCTCATTAAAAAAAACAAAAAAAAACTGCACAAACCTACACCCTGGAGAGGGCATAATTCTTTGGGTTCAGATCCATGGTCTTAAGACTAAAGGATGCTATACCATTGTTTGGGCCAGTGCTTCTCAACCTATTGAAGGTGCACTTTAAATTTTAATAAGAAAAAAATTAATGATGAAATTTGAAAATGGGTAAATAAAGAAGTCTCCTGAAAAAAATTACGACTTTTTTTTTTTTTTTTTTTTAGATCTTTCATTCTTTGGTGTCTTAGCTTTTTAAAAATAAAGATTTCTTTTTTTTAAATATGAAAATGATTCATAAATTACTCTTCTGTTAACTTTATATGCACCTAGCTACCTTTTTAGGGTCCATTAGTGCACTCTGGTGCACTGGTTGACAAATGCTGGTTTAGAGCATAGCTAAAAATGATCTGAAGATATGCCATCCTTTATCTATTAATTCAATTAATGGATATCTATTCACATTGTCTGCTTTCCCTATTATTTGCAATGTTTTGTGATGGTGATCAAAACATGTTCAATATTTTTATTGGACATTTTCATTGGTGTTATATAAAGAAAATATTTGTAAAATATTTTAGTTGTTTTTATTAATCATCATTAACAACCTGACCATTTTGTGGGGTGGCATACTAAATTTTCAAGGGATTTTTTTTTTTTTTTTTTTTTCTCTCTCAATAATATTTTATTAGCCACACTCTATATGTGAATAAAATAGATGACCAATTACAATTATCTTTTTTTTTATGTATAGTGTTCTTGTTATTATATTTTGAACAATCTTTAAGAAAACATGTCCATGTTCTTTTTTGGCATGTTTTTAATCAAAAAGGCATTTTTGTTTGGCTTTAACCCCGTATTTGAGATAATCTAATTTGAGAATTGACTGAACTGCAATGCTTAGAATTTAGATTTTTCTAAATGCTTAGAAATTTTGTGCCTTTTCTTGTTTTGAGTAATATTTTATCCAGAGCCATGTTATTAATCATTACAACAGGCATATAATAACCATAAAAAAGTAGTTTTCTTAAAAACTGGCCTTTTTCTTGACTCTTAATCAGATCTTTGCCCGGCAGGTCCTCAAAAATGTATTTTGGGGGGGGAATAAATGACTGAAAACATATTCAGGGGATTAATATCTTCAAAACAAAAATGATAGTCGCTATATTCTGAAGATAGCCCACAAAAAATTGTTTACCTCGAACCTCTATTACTACATTTATTTATTTAAAAAAAAAAAAAAAAAAAAAAAGTTAATCACTGCATTACATTTTTCTTGGAAACAGACTCTTTAACTCATATTGAACACCTGATCAAGCGTTGGTCTTTACTTCATCCAGGCCTAGTTCTCATAACAAGGTCTTTGTGCTTCATAAACAAATAATGCCACAATTTATAACCACTAAAATCTTCTAACCTATCATCACATTAGTTCTCTGCTTTAAAAATTATCATTTGTAGAAATGGATAGACCTTACCTGCTCTGATCCACTGGTGTAAATTAAAGATTTTGTCTTATGCCTGTTGTCTCCGGTTTTATTACATTATAGTTAGCTGCATGCTACTGATGTCGGCATTTTTCTCAATTTGTAATAGCATGCAGTTATCACTGGCATAAACAGTTAAAAAATTGACATTTGTAAATAAAAACTAAGTACAGATAACTCTTTAAGAAGTCAATCAGTTTGACACTGTACTTATATTATGAACAGAACACTCTCCCTTCAAAAATGAAAAAAAAAAAATAATCAGTATTTTTTGGTTCTCCCAAATGTTGTGCTCAGACCTAGAAAAGGTCTAATGAATGCTAATCTACAAAAAATTATTCCCGCCTTTCCTCCAAATTTTCTCTCTTTTTTATGATCAGGCCCGTTAATTTACATAGCACCCAGAAGAGTAACCAAACAGGAATTTTTTTTTTTTTTTAACTCCTCCTTGGCTGGGCCAAGAAATTTTCAGCAACCCTTTGTGTATATATATATATATATATATATATATATTTTATAATTAAAATGTTTAGTTGCTCAAAGCTATTTTTACCCTGAAATTGATAACTACTTTAGCATTTAGATGACAGCTTTTGAGAAAAGTTCACTTTTCAAGTGTAAGCGAGTGAATTAAATTTTTTTCATACATAAATAGTATTTTTGCTTTCCAGATTTTCTTTTGATAATTAAACTCCTTTGTGTACATGAAGTTGATCCCAGTGGATTTCAGTTGATCCATTCTTCAGATATATAATTCATAAAAAAAGAGGGGTAAAACTTTTTCTGGGGTGGGGGATGACTGAAAAAAGTGATCTTTTATACGCTAACTGGATCCGTCCATTTCAGCATATTCGCTGACTCATAAGATGTTTCAAGAGCTTCTTTTTACAGCACCTTCTCTCCATCTCCTTACAATATATCTCAAGTTTTTGGGGGTGATTTTGGAAATAATACCAGTACATTGAACACTGCTCAATATTTGGGTGTCTAAAGTTCCTGGTATAGAGCAGGGGTTAAACTTGGTCTCACATGATAATAAATATATATATATATATATATTTCCAACTAGTACCAATAGTCAGTATTTAAGCAGTCAAGTAATTTCAGATCAGATAGACAGGCTTTTTCAGTCAGGAAAATTCAGATAATATAATCTTCTTAACCCTCTTTGGTCTTGGTCCAGTAGGGCTGATCGATTTTGAAACTGTGATGTTGCACTCAATTTGAAAGTTGGGGTTTGACATGATAAATAATGACACAAAGTAATTTTTTTACCATTTTTTTGAGGAAACAAGTTTAAGGATTAATCATAGGTTCAAAATCATATTGTTGGAATTTCATTGCAGTGATTAGTGAAAACCTTATAGCACAGCCTTATAAAATTTCTAATTGACTGAAGGTTTACAAATTCTATGGACAAGATATGCACAAACACATTCTTACTAAATCATCATGCCATCAAATAAGACCTTCATTTGTTTCAAAAGAAAATTATACTGAACAATTTAGCTATATTATGATGTAATGCTATACAGTGCAGTAGTTTTAGTATGATTTTCACTAAACAATGCAAATTTAAAACATTTTGTCTTATAATGTGTTCCTAGCAATATTATGGTGTTATATACACTTTCATTTACTTTTTTATTTTTATTAATTATGATCTAACAAATCTTATTCATTTAGTAGCCATTTTGTGATATTTTACAATTTGTTCTACAGAGTTTTTACTTATCGAATACAGAAAAAATAAAACTGCATATTTTGCTTGTGGTGATTGATAATTAAAATTCTGGTTTGAATATATTTTACATTCAATGTATCTAATACAAAAGATATCAATTTTATTTAGATTTATTCTTGAAATAGGAAAATTTTGAAGTTAGTTTGTAAACAAAAAAAACTACAGAAATTAGGAATTTCTGTCAGGTGATCTTTAAAATCTAAATGCTCAAAAATTGGTAAAAGCTATGAAACTAATTTTTGGTGTTAGTGTGAAAACTGGGGTTTGATGTGATAAGCACTAAGTACAATGTTGATTTTCTGAAGAAAGTGAAAAATCAACCTTCCCAGTTGAGCCAGACATAGAATAATTTTTTTTTTTTCAGTCATCAAACATTTCATCTTAGAATGCTTGCAGCCTTAATTAAGAGAGTTTAGGGGTTAATGCTATTGTTGTATGTGATCTTCCTAAGCATGAGATATGAGTCAATGATCTCGGCTAAAGTAATCAAACTAGACTGAAGTGAATAAAGAAATATAAGAGACCATAAATAATAAAAAGATGCATATGCATTTCTGAAAGGGGTGCAACCTTCTTATTATTGTGCAGGAAATGGAACTGTGCCATGCATTAGTAACATTGTGGTGTGCCATGTACTGCAATAGCACCAGGGAATTTCCTTAATATTTAATAAAAGGAGTGGTTGGAATAAGGATATCCCAGGTGGATTTTTTTCCAAAAGAGAATAATCGTCCCAGCCTGTCTATTTGAAATTCAAAGGTATTACCAAATCCTGTCCAGTTCTTCAACTATATGACTTCCACCACCCTGGTAAAATTTTGTAAAGTTCTTTAAAAAAAAAAAATATACACTTCAACCATCTTGAATCCTGGCAATTTCCTTCTTTCGTTTCCTTTCTTCTTCTTTTCGTTTCCTTTCTTTCTTCTCCTTCCTCCTTTCTTTCTTTCTTCTCCTTCCTCCTTTCTTTCTTTCTTCTCCTTCCTCCTTTCTTTCTTTCTTCTCCTTCCTCCTTTCTTTCTTTCTTCTCCTTCCTCCTTTCTTTCTTTCTCCTTTCTTCCTCCTTTCTTTCTTTCTTCTCCTTCCTCCTTTCTTCTCCTTCCTCTTTTCTTCTCCTTCCTCCTTTCTTCTCCTTCCTCCTTTCTTCTCCTTCCTCCTTTCTTTCTTTCTTCTCCTTCCTCCTTTCTTTCTTTCTTCTCCTTCCTCCTTTCTTTCTTTCTTCTCCTTCCTCCTTTCTTTCTACTTTCTCTAGAGTATAGTGTCAAACTGACCTTCAGAGAGCTATCCATAAATATCAAAAATTACTGCTACCTGTTATTGTATTATTATTATACCCACAGCCAAAGATTTATTTTTATTTGCTTATTCTTAACCTGTTGCTACAAAATATTATTGGTTGAACTTTGTATTTAACAAGTGCCTTTGCTATTTTGTGCCTAAACAATTACTTAATAGAAAAAATCTTCAATATAAGTCAGACTTGTGTAATGAAATTATATACCTTTGCAATGTGTGTGTGTGTGTGTGTGTGTGGGAGATCATTATTAAAATTTGAATCAATACTATACACTCCCCCAATCCATAGTGTTTATTAGCAACAGTAGACTATTGGCCTGAGTAGTTGTAATGAGAAAGAACTCTAGATGTAGTACTCAAAAATTAATAGTTTATAATGCTTCATTTAATATTAAGAAAAACATTAAACATAATATTGCAACTACTAATGCAACTAGTATGTGCCAAGTAAATAGGGTGGGGTGAAAGTGAATCTATATGGTGGGATTTGGAATTCTGCCAGCCATAATGTCATTGGCACTTAAGCAGTACAGCAGCTGTCACTACTATATTGTCATTTCTTCAAACACAAGTGCCTCTAAACCATTTTTCTTTTAAATACACCCCCCACACACACTCCCCTCTTTCTCTGTCTCATAATAAATTATATATAATGAGACAAAGGGGAAAAACTTTTAAAAGAAGCATTTTGCTAACATGACATGTTAGTTTCAGCTTCTTCAGATTGGAATGAAAGACAAAATTAAAAAAAATGTGTTGGGATTTTTGAGGAGAAGAGGAGCAATAAATTAAGCTACCTTTTCATATACACTTTTGTTTTTGGATATTATTATACATCCTGCAAACACACACACACACACACACACACATATATATATATATATATATATATATATATATATATATATATATATATATATATATATATATATTAGTGTGTATGGGTAGATCATCATAATCTGAAAACAGTTATAGGTTGAATTTTGATCTGAAACTTTCTCTGTATAATGTTCAATTTATGTGATTAATGGAGAAGTATTCGATTAATCTCTTTCCTTGCCAATGTACTTATGTTGAGAAAATATTTGTGGAAAATTAAATACAGTCCAGCCTCTTAATCTGGTAATCCATGGTCTAGCAACTCCATGGTCCAGTATTTTTTTTTTTTTTAACAGCTGCCATTAGATCATTGAGCAGCTATGTGGGCAGTGCCTCATGTTGTTTCAACTCTTTTCGCAGCAGCACAGTGTTTTGGTGATACAGCTCATTTTTCATATATGTAGCTGCATATTGACACATTATGTTAGTAAAGAAAACACAATTTTTCAGTTTTAAGTTGTTTTTTTTTTTTTTGTTTTTTTTTTCTGTAAGCCTTTGTATTGCATGAAACAATAAAATCCTTATCTGGAAGAATTAATGATCGTTTTATTGTTTTAAGCTTTGTTTTACCTTTTGATAATGCATTGCAATATATATATATATATATATATATATATATATATATATATATATATATATATATGTGTGTGTGTGGAAATGAGCTGGCAAGACAATATTTTTTCTGTGGTCCATCAGTAGCTTGATCCCAAAGGTGCAGGATTAAAGAGGTTAGACTGTACTTTTATCACACCCAATTTCTTCAGCATCATCATTAGACAAAGGGCATCTTGATAAGCCCTTCATGCATATATGCAATTGCTTACTTCTCCTCCCCACTTCCTCTAGTGCCAATGATTTTAAGAATAATTTTCTGGGGGGGGGTCACTTAAAAACACATGGCAATTTAAAAATAAATCCTGCATGATGTAGATCCCAAAATGTAATACAAGATATAAAAAACAAAAAAACAAAGCAATTCATAGAAAAGTGTGTAAAGTCATTTGCTCTGACAAAATTGATTATTAGTATTTATATATATATATATATATATATATATATATATATATATATATATATATATATATATTTTTAAATTTTTTTTCCTATTAAAAATATTTACTTTTAACAGTTTTCTTTTTGTTTGACTCTTTATTTATCTTTGCATAAATTAATTTTGAAATAGTTTTTATTTTTATTTTTTGTTAATTCAGTCTCATAATTTCTGCGATGAGTGGTTCTCATGAATTACATTATTTACATGCAGGCTTATTGTCCTCATCTTTGTTGCTGTTATTACAATATTTTGGTTGTTGTGCTCTCCAGTCATCATAACTTGAACAAGAACAATCTACTCCCATAGATTAAATAAATGGTTTATTTCAGAATTCTCAGTTGGTTACCCAGATCAGCATAACCCTGACGAAGGCCAGAAGGCATAATGGCTGAAATTTTGTGATAACAAGATGAGGACAATTGTCTGCATGTAAATAGTGTAAATTATTGATTCTCGTGTTCAATATACCAGATAAATCTGGCTGAAATTCTTGCTGCTGACTCCGAGCTATTTATCAGGTAAGTAAATTTTTATTTCTAACAGCTAGAGAGATAAAACACAAAATGAGTTTATATACTTATTGGCTTTTTGGTAATATTCTGATGTTATGGTAACAGAAGATATTACTCTAAGTATATATCTTATTAGTAAGTAGGGAAGATCAGGTTGCTAATACATTTTTTTTTTTTTTTTTTTTTTTTTTCAGTCGTTAATTTTTGACATTTTTACTGTTTTTACTTCAGCATGCAGCAGTTTTTACCGTTGCTCAAATATTTTCTTTGCTTGAATCTTTTTTCCATTATAACATGCACATGATGGACTACAAGTTTTCTACTGATTTATTTTCGGTAAAGACTTGGGACTCTTCCATTAAATTTGTGTCTCTGAAACTTTCTCCTGTTTTATGCAATGTAAAGGAGCATTGGTTTGAGCAAATATATTCTTCATCTTAAAGCTTTTCAATCATGGCATCTTGTCCCAGAACTTACAATAAGTCTCTTCATTTATCTTGACAGCATCATCAATTTTGAAGGGACCTATAATTTTACTGCCTATAATACTAGCCCAAAACCTTACTCCACCTCCCCACATGTTGGTTGACTCTTTTCATGAAGCACTGAGTCTTTACCACAGCTATCAGCTCCATTGATTATAACTAAATTTAAGAAAGAAAAAAAAGGTATTACTATGAATTTGTTCTTTCATGCAACAAATGTATAGATAAAAATAAAATTATATATATAAAATCTTGCTCTGTCCCACCTAGAAGACAATGTGTATATATATATAATATATATATATATATATATATATATATATATATATATATATATAATATATATATACACACACACCTTGTCTTCTAGGTGGGACAGAGCAAGATTTTTTCTGAATGTTGTAGTGTTGATTTCTTTGTTGGCTGCGGGAGCATGTAATAATTGCATATTTGGGCAGCAATCCCTCTTTTATACAAGTTTCCTTAAAAACAGCTGACAAGGTACTGCAGTTGTTTTTTTTTGTTTTTTTTTTTTTCTAAGAACACAAGAAAAAAAAACAGTACCTTGGTCATTTTTAATGAAACTATATATATACACTCATATTTTAACTGACAAATTTTTATTGCTTTAAACATTATTTTTAGCAGATACTCATATTTGAGTAGATACTCTGTTTATTTATTAAACAGTATATTTATTTTCATCTACTGGCCTGAAATGTTCAAGAAATCTTTCTAGCAGGATTTGAATCTGTTCCCCACGACATCTTATGCCATGATCTTGATCCCCTTCCTTCTCTTTATCCTTTTCTCAAATACTCCTCTTTACTCTTGCTCTCGCTCTCTGTAACTCCTTGCATGCTAGTGGCACTCCTGCCTTCCTTGTGGTGATATACTTAAAAAAAAAAAAAAAGTTGATTTTTATTTTTCCCAGTGAAAATATTTGAACACCTGGTATTTATATTATCTGTGGATTTCACTATCTGAGGGCAAAGCCATCTTCCATAGATAATGAGGTCCTCCTGTACTTACTTTAAGAAAATTAGTCTTTGTTGAGTGCATGTTTATTCAATGACTTTGTGATATGTAAATATGTGAATTGAGTGCAACTGCGGAGAAACCTGACAAGTCAGTGAGTCATCTGCTTAAAAGCAGTAAACTGTGAAAAACAAACACAATTCTGCCAGTATGTCTCTAAATAATTGTTATTCACTCACACTGGCATTTGCTTTAGCCATTTTTCTTTCTCTTTTATTTTATTTTCTACCATATCTGTTTGAAATGTATGTGATCGTGGCTCTCCATAGATTACTTTTTTTTTTTTATCTACCATATCTCTTTAGGACATAAGTGACTATTTTTCTCAATAGATTTTGTTTTTTTCTATCCTATCCTGTTTCTTCAGGATCTAGGTAGTGATGGCTCTCAAAGGATTCCTTTATTTTAATTATATTTTTTTCTTTTCCCAACAACCATGTGTTTTGAGGATGAAGGTAATCATGACTCTCCATGGATTCCCCTTTTTTTTTTTTTTCCTATCATGGCTCTCCAGGTTTCTTTTTTTTTTTTTTTTTTTTTTTCAAATCTGTTAATATCCATGGACTTCTTGGGAAAGATTGTCATTAAAACTGTTTGGTAAATGTAAATCATTCTTAATTGATTGTTTGAAGAAACTCCAATATATATATATATATATATACAATCCTACTTATGGAATTTAAAAAAAAGAAAAACTTTACAACATGGTATAATTATAGTTATTTTTTCCTTAAATCATTAATATAAAAAAAATTAATATTTATAAAAGTTAATATTTTTTTTTTTTTTTTTTTTTTTTTTAATCAATTCACCCACCAACTAAGGCAATAATGCCACTAAGATGCAAAGGGCAACAGAGAGTGAAAGAGAATGAAAATTACTTTAGAAGGAACCAGAAAACCAATCCTAAACAGGGAACAAGGGATAAAACTATTCCTGTTCAAAATACCTCTGAGGAGTGTGTACTGGATAATAGGAAAACCTCTCTACACCTA